TAATTAGCCTCCAACTAATAAAAATAAATGGAAAAAAAAATTAAAAGATTAAAAAAATTTAAAACAAAGCAACAAAAAAAAGAATTTCAATTTTTAATAGAAGTTTATTTAACTTAATTTCAATATGCTGTCATTTAAAGGAAAGGTATAGAAACAATAGAGAGAAATAACAGTGTATACATCACCAAATTGGGCTGAAACCTGCCTCTAGACTTGAACAGCACCGGGGAGCTCCAAGTAACAGCAATCTGGAGTCCCAGTTGGGTAAAGGGTCTCTGCTGGTGCCTCCATCCCACTGGCGAGACTTTAGATTGCAGCTTTGGGGGTCCTGCTTATAACCCTAGGCCACAAACTGGTATTATCATCAGTTTGCATGCAAAAATGCAGCTCTGTTTTTTTTTTTAACTTTTACAATGCTGTTTGTTTCATCTTGTGAGTCATAAGATTCCTTAAATCCTGGGGGCCTGGCTAGGTTCCCAGGGGCTTAAGGAATTCTAAGACCTACTCTTTCTTATCTATAAAGTGCCACTTGACTTGCTGATAACAATTGGTGTGCTTATAGGCAGACATGTAGTCCAAGAAGGATCAAAAGTTGGTCAGAGGCCTGCTCCCCTACTTCTGAAGCCTGAACAAGACTGCTTCCATTTTAATTTCCCTAACAGATCTTTTGAAAACCATTTTTTCTGGAATCCCTTTGAAAGGTTTTAAACATGTTACTTATTTCTCAAACTAAGAGTTCAAACTTTTTTGGCCCTTGCTGAGATAGGGCCAATCATTTTCCTGTAATGTAGAAACCTTCCCCCCACCCCCAAGCTTTTAAATTTTGTTTATATCCTTAAATGCCAAAGTGCAAAATGACCTTTGTTACTGGTGTGCTCATTTGTCCTGGCTCAGCTACCCTGCTTCCTCCACCTCCTTTAGCCTCTGGAGTTGTGTTCATTTACTACTGTCACTGGACCCCACTCATCAAGCTTGTTTAGAATTACACATAAGATTCTACTTTATTGAGGCTCCAGCTTTGTAAATTAGTGTGTAAGAAATAAAATTTTTCACTTTTTAGGAGACTTTGTTGTGGACATATCAGGCACTTGGTTTCCTTATCGGGAATATGGGGGTAATAAAACTATTCTGAAGAAAGACAGAGGCAACAGGGAAGGCACCTGAAATTGCTCTGTAGGATGTGAAGCACTAAACCAACTGTCAGGCTGCCTCTGGGGGCATGATTGCTACAGGTCGCAACAGCTGCTGGAATTCAGAGCCACCTCTGCTTCTCCTTAGGCAGCATGCAGAGGGCAAGTTCCTCCTCCCTTAGAAGAGGAGCTAATCAAGTAATTCTAGCAAACCCAAGGGTGTTTTAATCAATCTAATTGGCTTATGGTTAGATTGATTAAGGGGAGCTGGGAAGAAGTTAAACTTTTTGCATCTGAGTTTCTCTGCTTTTCAATATAGCGCAGTGCTTTGAGCCTAAAAAATGTTCATATCTTTTGACCTAGTAATCTCCCTTACTAGGACGCAATCCTACAGAAATAAACATAACAAAGATTTATGCGTAAATATGTTTTTCATCACACCTTCATCCTTTTTCTTTTCTTATGATGGTCAGCAGAAGAGGCCTTTGGCTCTGTCCCAGAAAACACATTGCACCAAAGTTTGCAGACATTGGCTCACATTTATTTAAACTGTCACAGGATACCTTTTTTGTGAGCAGATTCCAAATATTTGTTGCATACCTAAATCTTGGATGGATGTCAGTAATGCAAGGGTACACTGTACTTTGAAGGAGTCAAAGGTGCATACAAACATTAGCAGAGAGCAGCACTGGATATTATGGTTTAACCTTCCTCCATTTTAGATCTTATAGACCCAAACTCATTCTTGATTCTGGGTATGTATACTTTATACCATTCTCTGTATCAACAAAATACCATGTCAGTCTGGGTCCTCTGAGAGCAGACATCAAAACAGAACTAGCCATGTTTAGAAGTTTATTATAGGAAAAGCTGGTGAAGGATAAAGGGGGAGAGAGAGCAGGAGCAGGCAAGTTGTTTTTAAAAGAATGAAAGAAACCAGGTACTCCTGTATAATTTCCTACAGTCTAGATTTTGTTGATTGCATCCCAGTAATATTATTTAACATGTTCTTCTGGCCCCAAGTGTCATATCTAGAGGCTAGATCATGTTAGAATTTAGTTTAGTTGCTCTTTCCCTTTCTCCCCTTCCTTCCTTCCTTCCTTCCTTTCTTCCTAATTACTTCATACATGGTGGTATGCACTTCCTTTAAGAGACTGGTAGTGTCTGGTTATGTGTCTCTTGTGTGTGTCATGTTAGCATCTGTTGACAATCATTGCATTATATCTATTAATTCCTTAAAGGTTGTAAAATGCTGATATTCTAATTATTTCTGTCTTCACTTGTTAACTAGTATACTTTTATACAGTGAAATCTCCCTTCGTTAGCTACCTGGTTACTTTGAGGTTCAGTGCAAATAGGGAAGATAGGATGAATGCCAAATTCTCTCTTTTTTTTAATAAGTTAACTCCTTAGTGTTTTCCAAAGGTGACCAATGAGAGTTTTTATTTATTTATTATTATTATGAGTGAATTTAAGCCATTCCAGCTGGGGGTTGTTGTTGTTTTGGCCATGTTGCACAGCTTGCTAGGATCTCAGTTACCCAACAAGGGATTAAACCTGGGGCACTGCAGTGAAAGCCCAGAGTCCTAACCACTAGGCCACCAGGGAACTCCCTGCAGTTGTTTTTATTTGATACTCAAACTGTTCCATCTTTGGCCAGTGGGAACTCTTATAGATAGATTTCTGAGCTGTTTTGTCACGATCCTAGTGGTCTCTGTTAGCCTCCTTGCTCTCTGTTATGATTTGATGTTCCAGACCCATCTTGTACATTTCTTGCCCCAGATTTCTACTTAGTCTCATTGTTCTTACATCTGAATTTCCTTATTTCTAGGCCCCAAATCCTGGATCACAGTGATAGCAGCCTGATTACTCATTTGCTTTGTTTCACATTACATACATAATGGCCTCAAAATAACAATTCTAAACCTAGCACCCACAAAATGATTACTGATTAAAATGTTTGCAGTTCTTTTCTGTTTTTAGGATATATACCATTAGAAATGAGCTATCACATTACTGGGCTTTAAAAATCACTAAGAACAGTTCCTCTTCTTAACCACTTGTACACATATTTAGGTATCATTTTACTAATCTTATCTCTGGTGTCATTCTTATTTCTCTTTCACCCTGATATTCTGACATTTTTTTTCTCCTTGAGTATATTTATCTATGTAGTCTGCTTCATGTTTTTTTTTTATAATAGAGGAGTATAAAGATAACTAGGTATAAGAGAAATTGAAGTACAAAAAAGGTAGATTTAAAAATGTGTATACATGCCCTTTGTTCCTTACTCTGTGAGCTGAGAGGTCTTAGAAACATGATTCTCTAGTATCAATGGGCATGCTTAGAGCCCAGATCTTGGTTTCTGAAACTGTTCTCTAATAAAAGGAACCAGTGCTCACTGGATAAATAGCTGATTGTAGGGCTGGGCAGAGAAGGACAAGCCTGGTACATCTTGTAATACCAGAAAGTAACGAAGTCCTTAAATACATACATTCACACAAAATGCTAAGTGGCCAAAGCTGAAACAATTTGAGCAACAAAAGAAGTAACATAATGTTGGATTATAACCAAAAGTATAAAACAACTGTCTATGAATCCATAAGGATTTAAGTAAATGGTTAAATAAATAAATAAGTGGGGTAGAAGAGACAAATCTCCTGTGCAGATGAATTTCAAATAATTTATGTCAGTACTCCACCTTCAGAGAAGGGCATGGCAACCCACTCCAGTATTCTTGCCTGGAGAATCCCCATGGACAGAAGAGCCTGATGGGCTACAGTCCATGGGATCACAAAGAGTCAGACACGGATGAGCAACTAAGCACTCCACCCTTGAGGAAGTAGGACATAACTCTCTACTTCTAAAGTGCAGACTTTACATAGACTTCCTTCCAAAGAGTATAGCATGGAAGGGGAGAAAAAGAATAGCTTTACAGTGGAGAAACCTGGCCAAACACTACCTCAGCCTCGGTGATCAAGATTAACGTCAGTGATAAGTCATGTTCATAGCATGCACCATTGATATAATGTTAATCTACAACATTTGCTTCTACTTTTCTGGTATTAACTACACTGGTTTTGTTGTTGTTGTTGTTGTTTCTTTCATTTTGTTTGATTTGACTTGGCTTGTGGAATCTTAGTTCCCCAACAAGGGATTGAACCTGGGCCATGGCAGTGCAAGCAATGAGTCCTAACAACTGGACCACCAGAGAATTCCCTTACTATACTGTATTTAAAAATATACTTTTTATGGAAATTTTTATTTATGAGTGAAAGCCTGTACTCAACTTTGAGCAAATAAAGTATGAAACGTTGTTCCTGCCTTTGGTAATTTTTAATCGAGTTGGGAAAACAAGATCTAGCTAGCATGTAATCCAGATATAGATAATCAGAGGTCATTATAGGGGGATTTAAATTGAGTAAAGCACAGAGATGCTGTGGGCTGGTGTAAGGTAGGGCGAGTTTCCAGGAAAACACTTCTGTTTATACAGTCAGGATTTCTAGAAGAGTGGCATGATAAGGGTTGATTGAGGAGTTCGACAGATTCTTTTGCATATGATTTGATTATCACCAAACCCCCAAGTATATATATATATTTTAAATTATTACATTTTTAACCAACCTTATGATAGATAATACAATTAAATTATGATACATAATATAATATATGCTAGATTATAAAATTTTGGGCTCAGTAATCACAGTGAGGTGATTAGATAGAATCACAAAATTTATTAGACAGACAGGACAATCAATGAATTGCATATGATATTCTGCATTTATATTATATGTAGACCTGCTTAACTCTTCAATGTTTCACATTTAGATGTTAATATGTTCTTCGACTTTTTTTTTTTCCCCCTTCTAGGATTATCTGCTGCCAAACTCTTAGCCGAACATGAAGTTAATGTTTTGGTTTTAGAAGCCCGGGAGAGAGTTGGAGGAAGAACATACACAGTGAGGGTAAATGATTTTGATACCTACATAAATACAAAACCTCACACAAACTAGAATGGGGTCATTGGAAGTTCCAGAGCTGGGGGGAATCTCAAGAGTGTATGCAGTTAAGCCATTGATCCACCATAGTCCTAGACTACTTTATTAAATAAGTATCTGTTCTTTTCAACAAACACCCACCAAAAAGTGTCAGCCTCTGACCTTCAGTAGCTTGCATTCTAGTGAAGAAAACAAACCTGGACAAATAATTTCAATACAGCATCATCATCTCCATACCAGAGACCTAAATAGAGGATATAGTATCTCAGGTGAGGTAAGGTTTAGCTGGACTTGAAGTGACTATACCTTCACCACATACACACACACACACACACACACACACACACACACATGATATAGATTCCTTATTTATTTTCCAAGGACACACAACTTAAAAGAAGTGTGACCACAGAAAGCAGAGGCAAATGTAACGTGTTTCTGTGCAACTTTTTCCTTAACCCTTGTTCTCCAAGAGGTGCACTGCTGAGAGAGGCACTGTTTGCTCAGGTGGAGTCAGTGAGACATGAGAAGGAATCCCAGTTCTTGCTACATCACAGCCTTTTAATACTTAGGCTTACATCACCACTTTGGGGAAAATGCAAGCTAATTGGTGTTTACAACTATTTAAAGAAATGGTTGCAGGTTGTTGGATCTGTGAGATCTGATGAAAGGATACAGGGAAGGAAGAAATAAAGACAAAGATGGAAGTTGAGGAACATGAAGATTTGAGCAGGGGGGCAGAGGCAGAGAAGCCAGAGAGGAGCAGTAGAGGCAGAGGAGGAAGACCAGATTGGGGCAGTGCCATGAAAATCAGTAAAGAGGATGGGATGATAAATAGAATCAAATGCCAGGGGCATTTGACACAGGGTGAAGGCTGTTAAGAGGCCCTTGTATTTGGCTTTTAGAAGGTCATTAATGAGCCCCTTTGCTAGAGCACACAAATCGAGCATTAAAGGCTGTGGATTGGCAACAGGGACAAAACCAGACTGTTGAAGTGACTGGAAGGAGAGGAAGCATCTAATTAGAAGATGTGTCAGACTTATAATAGAATGGCTTATGCAGTGATAATAATGATGATTTAAGCAATCCAAACATTCAGTCCTTTTATATAAGAAGAAGTCTGGTGGTTGGTAGTCCAGGCTGGTGCAGGGGTTCAGCTCTGTCAGCAAATCTTTAGGATCTCTCTGTCCTTCTGCCCAGCCATTCTTTTCCTGTTGGCTTCTTGCCTAGTGGTAACCAGATGGCTTTAGCATCTCGCAGCATCAGGCCCTCACTCAAGGCAGGAAAGGGCGGTGAAGAGGCGGCCCAAGTCTTATCTGCAACAAAGCCTTTCTTTTTCCAGAAGACCCCGTGAGACATTTGCTTTAGTCTCATTGGCTAGATTTGGGGCACACAGCTGCCAGGGAGCCTGGGAAAGCAAGTATTTAACATTTCCAGGCTGCATAATAGAAGCAGGCATGGGAAAAGGAACATACATGGGTATAAAATAGTCAACCAACATCTAAACAAGGATATTGTACCAACTCTTTTCAGTCACACCAAGCCAAACTCCCCTTCTGTCCATCACTTTCTGCCTTTTCAGACATACAAGGATGTATCATAGGCCTATTTTTACTTTGCTCAGCTCTAAGAGTACCCTACAGCCTTGCTACTCAATGTATACTGTGAGCCACCTGTCTGGGAATCACCCTGGAGCTCGATAGACATGCAGAGTATCAGGCCTTGTCCTAGCCTGCTGACTCTGCATTCTGACAAGATCCTTAGGGGACCCTACAGAAGTGCTGCTCTTTGCTGTAGGCTCGCTTGCTTTAAATGAATGTGAATCTACATAAACTGCGTTTGAAGCATTTGAGTACCTCCTCAGAAGGCGGCTATTGGTCTGGGAGTGAGGAGACTGGGGCTCTGACCCTTGTACTGGCCTGACACCCTGTCTTACCTTGGGTAAGTACTATTAGCACTTCACATCTCAGTTTTCTCATCTGGGCAGTGAGATATAAATGGGCTTGAAGCTCCCTCCAACTTCAGGTTCTAATCGAAGGTAGTGTGTTGTAGTGCAAAAGAAGGATTGCATATTCTGCCTGTACCACCTTAATAGATATGATTCATCTGTCATTTTCTGAAGAATATTCCTTCATTTTGGAGATAGGTATTAAATTGTCCCTTTGCCCTACTTTTCATATCTCTAAAACCTTTTGGTTATTAAATAGGAGCATCAGTCATGTTGTGGATTTTTCAGTTCTCTTTTGGCAGAACTTACTTTTGTTTTTGTTTTTAATTGAAGTATAGTTTCCCTGGTGGCTCAGATGATAAAGAATCCCCCTGCAATGTGGGAGACCTGGGGTCGATCCCTGGGTCAAGAAGATCCCCTGGAGAAGGGAATGGCTACCCACTCCAGGATTCTTGCCTGGAGAATTCCATCATCAGAGGAGCCTGGCGGGCTACAGTCCATGGGGTTGCAAAGAGTCAGTCATGACTGAGCGACTAACACACACATTGTTGATTTATAATAATATATTGTTTTAGGTTATAGCATAGTGATTCAGTATTTTTACAGATTATACTCCATTAAAAGTTAATATAAGATAATGGCTGTAATTCCTTGTGCTCCACAAATATATCCTTGTTCCTTATCTATTTTATACGTAGTACTTTGTATCTCTTATTCCTATGCCACTAACTTGCCCCTCCTCCCTTCTCTCTCCCCTCTAGTAAATACCAGTTTGTTTTCTATGTCTTTGAGTCTGGAACAAGTTTCTTTGGGCAAGGGAAATGAGAATCTCAATGTGCTTAGCCCCATCTATGTTATTGCCCCAGGCTGCTTTTTCATTCTGCATCATTTATATATATATATATATCAGTGGCATACAGGAACTATTGTGTATTGAGTATGATTTTAAAATTCCCTTTTGGAATGTGAGAAATTAACTCTGAAATGCTGAGAAACTAGGACTTGACATCTGTAAGATTTCAATGAATTCAAATGAATAGAAGGGGTAAAAAGGGCTTTACAAAGCAGGCATAGAAATGGTATCTAATCAGAAACTGAATTGAATATTGTTACAGTTGTTTCTACTAGCATAATTGATTAGAGTGTGGGGAGGAGATGCCATAAAAATTACTCTGGATCTTTAACTACTGAAATATCAAATTTGATATTGTCCTTTGGCAGTAGTTCAGATACATCTTCTATTCATTCAAAACTTCCCAGTTTGTGCTAGCGTGATTCCCCCATAATTCTTCAGGACCAGATGAATGAAGTTGAAATGCCTGCAAGGCTACCACAGGGATGGTGTATTAGTTTTCCTAATATGGTTATGTGTTTATGGCTTCTTCAAAGGCTGAGTTGTTGTTCAGTCACTCAGTCGTGTCCGACTCTTTGCAACCCCATGGACTGCAGCACACTAGGCTTCCCTGTCCTTCACCATCTCCCAGAGCTTGCTCAAACTTATGTCCCTATTGAGTCAGTGATGCCATCCAACCATCTCATCCTCTGTCATCCCCTTCTCCTCCTGCCTTCAATCTTTCCCAGAGTGATGAGATCCAAACCAAGATCCTAAAGACTGAGGGGCAGCATAGCAGAATATGGTGTTATAGTTCTACTGTCTTCCTGCTGAAGCTGGGGCATCTCCTTTCCATTGCTTCCACTTTGTAAAGAAAGATTCTATGAAACGTCTCATTCTTTTTACTGCTTCGCTTGGGATTATTTATTTTAAACAGTGTCTGTATTCTAAAGACATCCTGTTTAGAAACTCCCAAGAGTCATCTTGCTGTCTTAGTTAAATTTATTGGACTACTGACTCCAATTTTGTTCTTCACATCTTAATAAGGATGTTGGAGACTGGAGAAGGTTTGGAGCACAGCACCAGTAGTTAGTAAAAGGGAACGTTAGGATTATATGAGGGACAGAAGTCAGAGGAACACTTCATTTCTGGTATTATGGCGGAATGACTGTCCCTCTTAAAATAAGTAAAATGCTGAATAAAATATATTGTGCTACCTTGAAGTGAGAAAATTGCAGATCTCCTGGATGTTAAGCAGACATCTCAGATCTAACACATCCAAGCTGAATTTCTTGTCTTCCTCATCAAGAACACTATTCCTGTAGCCTTCCCCATAAGGGAGGATGGCAACTCCCCAAACACCTGGAGTCATGTTTAACCCCATGAGGCCCTACATTCATTCTGTCAGGAAATTCTTTTGGCTCTGCCTTCAAAATATATCCAGAATGCAACCTTACCCTCCACTTCCAGGGCTACCACCTGGTAGCAGCCACAATCATCTCTAGGGAAAGTATTAGTCACTCAGTCATGTCCAACTCTTTGGGATCCCGTGGACTGTAGCCCACCAGGCTCCTCTGTCCATGGGATTCACCAGGCAAGAATACTGGAGTGGGTTGCCATGCCCTTCTCCAGGGAATCTTCCTGACCCAGGGATTGAACCCACTTCTCCTGCATTGCAGGCGGATTCTTTACCATCTGAGCCACCAGGGAAGATTACTGCAATAGCCTCTTAACTACTTTCTCAGCTTTTACCCTTGCCCCATAAAATCTACTGTTAGTGTGACAGCCAGAATGAGCTCTCAAACCTAAGTCAGATCTTGGCACTTCTCTGCTTGAAACCTTCCAAAGGCTCCCCTTTTCATTCAGAGGAAAAGCTGATATTGTCTCAATGCGTTGTGAGGTGTTCCATGACCTGCCCTCCCCACCCTTGACTTCTCTAATCTCATCTCCAGTTCTCTTTTCCTTGCTCACTCTGTTCTAGACACACTAGTCTGTGTTTTGTGAACACACCAGGCACATTTCTGCCTTAGAATCTTTACACTGACTCTTTCTTCTGCCAGGAATGTTCCTGTCCCAAATAGCCACATGGATAACTCCCTTACCTCCTTCAAGTCTTTATGAAAAGATCACCTTTTTTTGGAGGCCTACGTGTCGCTTGTATCTGAATCTGAAATCTTTCCTTCTCTCCTCTGCAGTTTCAATGTCTTGTCACTCTCTAGTTTTTTATTCTTTAAATGTTATCTACTTCTAAGATATTTATTTATTATGGTTCTTGTTCATTTTCTGTCTCTTCCTACTAAAGCTGCTTGAGAGCAGAGATCTTTATTTTGTTCACTGATATAACAGAAGCTTCTTGATCTATACCTGGTACCTTGTATGAACTCAAGATATAGTTATTGAATGAACTAATGAGTCCCCAAAGCAAAGTGAAAACATGAAGCTTAGGAATTCAGTGAGCTCAAAATTTGACTTTCACCTTGAATGCCTACTGAACCATGAAGACTTTGCAGTTCCACTGGGATGGATGTATGGCATGCAGAGAACAGGAGATGAAATCCTCACCCTGTCAAAGGTAGGAAGTTTAATAGGAAACACTCCAAATTGGAATCCCCTGTGCTATACTCTGTACATGAAAGTGAAATAAATCTTACCATTCAAAAAGAGATAAACTTTGTTTTCATCCGTGGCTTCCATCTAAATTCACACTACCTATGTGGCATGAAAAAAACCTTAGAATATATAAAGTACCAAGGATGCTGGCAGAAATAGACTCAATTCCTGTCCACCCAGGACAAATAACTTACACAGAAAAGGTTCTAAAGAAAACGAACGACTTACAGTCAAAAGTAACAGAGCCAAAGAAAAGTGACAGAACATACAAGGAAGCTAGGCACTAAAAGAAATGTCTAAAAGAGTAGGCCTGAGTGTATAAGTAGAAGAAAAAACTTCAAAAGAAACAAAAGAAAACCCTTAATCCCAAAGAAGGAAAGAAATCAGGCAGGAAACTATTAACAATGGGACAAATGGAAAGCCATAATAAGTGAAATTAAGACATTTTAAAAGAAATAAAATATAAATAGGTTAAACTCAGTTAAAGGGGGGAAAATGTCAGAATAAAGAACACTTTAACTGAAAGATAGAAAAAGAGATAATATACAAATACTAATCTAGACTGTTTTAACTAGATTAATACCAGGCAAAATAAGGTTTAAACAAAAAAAAATGTTTCATTGAATTAAGTATCAGTACAATAGTGATAAGAGACCTGGAAGACTAAACAGTTCTAAACTTGTATATCCTGAATAACGTAGCCTCAAAATATAAAGCAAAAATTGATAGTAATCAAACATAAGTGCCAAATAGACTAGGGGATTTTTAACATACTTTTCTAAATTAATAATAAATGAAGCAAACAAAGGCTGAGCACAATTAATCTTTTTCTAATGGACATATATAAAACATACATATTACTTAACAGAAGACTATATGTTCTTTTCATTCTGAAATGAAAAATCTTTGAAGATCAACCATGTACTAGGTCATAAAGTAAACCTCAAGGATTGATACCATATAATCCATTTTTTTTACCACAATGCAGTTATGACAGAAAGATAACTAAAAAGAATTCCAGCTATAGAAATTAAAACACAGCAAAACTTTTAGAAACATTGATTTAGACAGAAATTGTAATGGAAATTTGCAAACACTTAAAACTGCACAGTAATGGAAATACTAAAATAAAGTTGTATAGTTAAAACCATATGAGAGGAAGATTCGTAGCCTAAATTTTTCTATCAGAAAAGGATAGGAGGCTCAATATGAATAAGCTAAGCATTCAAGAAATAGAAAATTGAGTGTAAAAAATCCAAATAAAGGAAAAAGGAGCATAAGTCAATGATATATAAAATAAATACTCAATAAAATGATCAGTAATAGAAAGGTTGATTTTTTAGTCTTATTAAAACGGACATGTCTGCTGAATTTTTTAAGAAAAAGGAAAAGGAGAAATCTCTAAACAAATAAAAGGGATGAAAATGAACATATAATAACCACTGATGGAATAAACAGTAAATGAGAAGAGGAGGTCCTGAATTTTACAGCAATAGTTTTGACACATATGAAATGTATATATTATGAGAAAATATAATTTCTAAAAATTAACAGATTAAGAAATAGAAAATATGAGTAGTGCTTTAACCTCAAAATAAACTAAATGTGTAGTTTAAGTTTTTCCCGCAAACACTAAACCTAGATAGCTCTACAGGTATGTCCTACCTGCTGTTCAAAGAAGAGATTATTCTGTTTATATATGATCCCTTCTAAAAAAATAATAAAGAACAGAAGAAAGTATGATCACTAACTCATGAGATTAACAATACTGTAATGCTGGAAAACAGACAAGGGCTGGAGAATAGAGGAGACTCCTGGGGCAATCTCAGTATCACTTACAAACACAGATATAAAAATTCTAAACAAAAGGTTAGCAAAGCATATCCAGCCATGGGAAGATAATATCAGATTATATTACCCCAGGGAGGCAAGGTTCTAGGCATTCAATTTTATGGAAATAGCAGATAAGGTAAATTGTCCCAACCCTCCCACTACATACAATGATACTAGACAAATTGTACATAGACACCAGACACACACACACACACACACACACACACACACACCTTCAAAGCACCAGAGAGCTAACAAGGTAGTGAAGACTCACTAGACCAACATCCAGAAAACATTGACCTGCTTTTCCCCTGGGGGTGGGGAGGTGGGAGCTTGCTGACTACTAGAAAAGCAAGTGAGAGACTGAGCTCAGTTCACTTCAGTCGCTCAGTCATGTCCAACTCTTTGCGACCCCATGAACCGCAGCATGCCAGGCCTCCCTGTCCATCACCAACTCCCGGATTCAACCCAAACCCATGTCCATTGAGTTGGTGATGCCATCCAACCATCTTATCCTCTGTCGTCCCCTTCTCCTCCTGCTCTCAATCTTTTCCAGCATCAGGGTCTTTTCAAATGAGTCAGCTCTTCGCATCAGGTGGCCAAAGTATTGGAGTTTCAGCTTCAACATCAGTCCTTCCAGTGAACACCCAGGCCTGATCTCGTTTAGGATGGCAGTAGTACTTTCAAAATCTTAGCAAAGCTAGGGCAACTGAAGGTCAAGTCCAGGGCCCACCAAAGTGTGTGTTTATGGAAGGAGGTGTTTGTAAACTCTTGTGCTTTGGGTTGGACTGCATCCTAGCACTAAAGGAGAACAGTAAAATGATTAGGCCACGTTGCATTTCAACCTGCTTTCAAATCATCTCAGGCACAGAAAATGCAATAGAATTATCTGGTAATGTTAGCATCCCCAAGTGCTGGGTGGAAGCAGACATAAATCCTCTCTTAGAAGGATATAATCCTTCCAGGATTCAGATTATTTCTGCATTTCTCATGTTCAGTGAATGGCACACAATAAAAAATAATCAGGCAGGGGACTTTCCTGGTGATCCAGTGGTTAAGAATCTGCCTTCCAATGCAGGAGACTCAGGTTCCATCCCTGGTCTGGGAACTAAGATCCCACATGGTGCAAGGCAACTAAGTCCATGGGCCACAACAAGAGAGCTCAGCCAAATAAATATTAAAAACAAAAACAACTGGGGAAGGCAAATTTCATGTTGCATTAACCAAATAATAAATAAATAAAATAGGATCAGGAGGCCACCAGTTTGGGCTGACTGAAGAGTTCATCTGCTGGAAATCAGAAAGTTAGGCCTCATAAATCTCTCGGTGGCCCTCCCAGCAACAACCCCAAAGAAAAGCACAGATGACGTAAATGCTTTGAAAAAGACCTAGGTGGGCAGGATGTACTATAGTGTTCTTTATTCGTTGTGCATGTTCTTGGCAAATTGTCCTCACCAATAACTAAACAAATGGGATTGCTTAGAGACGTCATATGGGATTGGGGATCAGTTCTTGAGGTGAAAGGATTGCTATTTTCAGTGGCCCTTTGTAAGAGAGATGTAAGGCACATTTAAACTGTAAAATATAAACAGGTTCTTCTTGTTTTTATGAGACTTAGCAATATATATATATATATTTGTATATATACACATATGTATATATATATGTATGTATATATATGTTTTTTTTTAAGTTCTAACCAAAGTCTTCTGGCCACTTTTTCTCTTTCTACAGAATGAACATGTTGACTACGTAGATGTTGGCGGTGCTTATGTAGGCCCAACCCAGAATAGGATCTTACGGTTATCTAAGGAACTGGGTTTAGAAACTTACAAAGTGAATGTAAATGAGCGTCTTGTTCATTATGTCAAGGTAAGCCTGATGTTTTACTCAAGTGTTTTACTCAGTGGGGAAGCATTTTATTTGGGAAAACATTGGGTTTTGTTTTCAGGTTTTTTTTGGTCAAAGCAATCATGAAAGCAGGTTCTCAGCTTTAAAGTAGTTTTCTGCCTTGCTTTCCTTCTTTTTAAAAAAGTCCTTGTGGACTCCTGCAGTCTCTGAAAGTGGGCATTCTTCAGCTTGGTCCTCTTCCACCTCACCCACTGTGGCCCTAGAAGGCCACACCCCACCTCTAGTCCAGCTGGAATAGGGGTGAAAGGCTCTCAGCTTCCTTTCTTCCCATCCCTCTGGGGCTGAGGGAGGCACCTGAAATAAACACACACACACACACACACACACACACACAGAGCCCAGGCAGCTCCTGAGGCACCTATGAGGCAATTCTAAGGCCCCAAGGAACACAACTGTTTGAGGCCACTTAAGACTTGAAATGGGTCATTCATCCTCATCCTTACCTGACATTTCTTTGCACACTTTGATCGTTTTCTCTACACCTAGCCATGACTCTTGGGAAGTCTAGCTCAGTTGTGTAATTTCCTACTGTTTAAACAAGAGATTGTTTAAACTCAAAGTGCTGCTATCCCCTCAAGGAACAGCAGCTGTTGCCCGTGTTTTTCTTTCTTTCTGAAGCCAAACATGGAGCAGATGGAGTCTGAAAAAGGGCCTGGAGAAATCAAGTTTCTGGTCTGATACTGCAGCCCACTTCCTGGAACTAGTGTCACCAGAGCAGGGGTCATTTACTCCTTCTAATGCCAGGATTCCCACACCACTAACTGTATCACTTCTCAACAGACACATCACCCAACACCCAGCAATCATGTGGGTGTGCCATCTTCAGGGCCTTTCAGAGCAGGGATTTGAGGATCCTTGAATGTACGTATGGACACCAATGCCCAGTTGGTGAGGTCAGGAATCTTGGGAAACTCTGATTAGCTGCTTTGGGTTGGTTTGCGATGCTTGGGGGAGTTTGGCAGACACATGAGAAAAGAAACCAGCAGCCTTTAGAAAAACTGGGTTCAGAGGTCAAGGGAGAAATGGAAAAAGTATTAAAAAAAAAGTTAAGACAAAGTAAATTTATGAACACTGGCTTCAATAGGCCATGATCTAAAAGGAAAAACTCCTTTGCTTCCCCACTTTGTCTTCTCTGCACGGCATGATGTTTACCAGGACAATAACAAAGGTAAGAGTAATACCAACTATTAAATAACGTGTATTGAGCACTTTGACCTGTATTATCATATTTAATATAGGGAGAGAAACCAAATCCTTTGTACTACTCAACTGCTAGTTAAACAGTCATCTCAATTTACTGTCTAGTCCAACTAGGACTGAAATGAGTCTGGCGATTATCTTGGAACCTGAGCAAATTTATACTCCGCTTTACAGAGGAAAACACTGAGGTTCGGTGAGGTCAAGTGACTTGACAAAAGTATAAAACTAGTGATGGTCTACCTACCCCCTGAACATACGTGCTCTTTATGAATTTTAGGATTTACTTATATTCTTAAGATGCTAAAGATTGTTCTTTTAATTTAAGACAATCTCATCTAATGGAAAGGTGGAGAATAGACATGCTGTTAGGAAATTCCCTGGCAGTCCAGTGGTTAGGACTCAGGACTTTCACTGCCATGGCCTGGGTTAGATCCCTGGTTGGGGAACAAAGATCCTACAAGCCACGTGGCACAGCCAATAAATAAATAAACATTTACCATTAAACCATCCTCTCACATACTTTAACCTGCCAAGGAGTACCTATTTTCACCCAAGGTAGACTACAAAATTAAGGTAAAAAAAAAAAAATAAAACTAGTGCACCAGTTAGAGGTTAATTTATTTTACCTGAATGAATGCCTTTCTGCTAGTGTTTCTGATAAATCACATCATTTCTGCAATGAGAAATACTCAGGGTAGTGGATGTTTTTAAAATTACCAGGAAACTAGAAAGTGAGGAGGCCAGATTAGGGAAAGCGCAGGAAGATATTTAACTATTCCTGGTAAGATTGATAATCAACTGTATGTGCTTAGTCACTCAGTCATGTCCAACTCTTTGCATCCCCACAGACTGTAGCCCGCCAGGCTTCTCTGTCCATGAGGATTCTCCAGGCAAGAATACTGGAGTGGGTTGCCATGACCTCCTCCAGGAGACCCTCCCGACCCAGGGATCAAACCCAGGCCTCCCACATTGCAGGCAGATTCTTTACCGTCTGAGCCACCAGGGAAACCCAGTTAATTGTATAGCAAAAAATAATTCCACTTATTTAAGGATATCTCAACTCTCAGTGTTATGTTTGCTTCTAGGGAGAAAAAAGGATTTTTCCTGCCAGCATGATCGTGCATTGGGCTAATAATGCAAATTGTTTATGTGACACTATACATTAGCTCTCCTCACAAGCTCAGCTTCTGTAATCTAATACAGTATATTCTTTCCAGTAAATAACACTGAAATGAAGTGGGCAAATAACTGGATGATTGCGGCTATCTAGTTAAACCAAGCCATATTCTTTATGATCCAGATTGCTCTTAAATTTTCCTAATCTGCAGCCTTCAAGAATTCCTCCATTGTTTTTTCTGTCAGCAGACTGTAGTACATTCAGTTTCCACCTACTCTAGGATGATTTTCACTGTTCACCAGAGAGCTATTCTTGACCTTAGCCAGATTGTGTTTATGGGGCAAATTTTGATTGTGTGGTCCCAAGCCTGAGCCTCTGAAGCACTGGGGATAGATGCTGGGTGGTGTTTTCCATCCTGTCCCTTCCCCAAGAGAACTAAGTTTATCTGCTTTAGTGGGATCTTAGTTCCCCAGTTCAGTTCAGTCGCTCAGTCATGTCTGACTCTTTGTGACCCCATGGACTGCAGTACGCCATCACCAACTTCTGGAGTTTACTCAAACTCATGTCCACTGAGTCAGTGATGCCACCCAACCAGCTCATCCTCTGTCATCCCCTTCTGCTCCAGCCTTCAGTCTTTCCCAGCATCAGGGTCTTTTCAAATGAGTCAGCTCTTTGCATCAAGTGGCCAAAGTATTGGCGTTTCAGCTTCTACATCAGTCCTTCCAGTGAATATTCAGGACTGATCTCCTTTAGGATGGACTTGTTGGATCTCCTTGCAGTCCAAGGGACTCTCAAGAGTCTCCTCCAACACCACAGTTCAAAAGCATCAATTCTTCAGCACTCAGCTTTCTTTATAATCCAACTCTCACATCCGTATATGACTACTGGAAAAACTATAGCTTTGACTAGATGGACCTTTGTTGGCAAAGTAATGTCTCTGCTTTTTAATATGCTCTCTAGGTTGGTCATAACTTTTCTTCCAAGGAGCAAGTGTCTTAATTTTATAGCTGCAGTCACCATCTGCAGTGATTTTGGAACCCAGAAAAATAGTCTGTCACTGTTTCAGTTGTTTCCCCATCTATTTGCCATGAAGTGATGGGACCAGGTGCCATGATCTTAGTTTTCTGAATGTTGAGCTTTAAGCCAATTTTTTCATTCTCCTCTTTCACTTTCATCAAGAAACTCTTTAGTTCTTCTTCACTTTCTGCCATAACGGTGGTGTCATCTACGTATCTGAGGTTATTGATATTTCTCCTGGCAATCATGATTCCAGCTTGTGCTCCATCAAGCCCATCATAGAAATGATGTACTCTGCATATAAGTTAAATAAGCAGGGTGACAATATACAGCCTTGATGTACTCCTTTTCCGATTTGGAACCAGTCTGTTGTTCCATGTCCAGTTCTAACTCTTGCTTCCTGACCTGCATACAGGTTTCTCAAGAGGCAGGTCAAGTGGTCTGGTATTCCCATCTCTGTAAGAATTTTCCAGTTTGTTGTGATCCCAACTGGGGATCAAACTCAGGCCCCCTGCAGTGGAAGCATGGAGTCTTAACCATTGGACTGACAGGGAAGTCCCTATCTACTTCATTTTTAGAAGGTTCGTATGGTTATGCTAAGTTCATTCATTGTTTCAGTAAGTAGTCACTGGACAATCAGCTGTGTACCAGATATTGTTCTAGGCTGGATATAGACTGATGTATACATGATTCAGGTTCCTGCTCACATAGAGCTTGCCATTTCAAAGGAGGAAAAAAGTAAATAACAAATTGTAAATAAGTAATATTAAGTAACATTTCTGCCTGTATTCTTCATGGATCTTGTGAATAGAGTTGCTATTCTAACTCTGGTTTATTAAATCTGAGTCTCATATCGTAGTTTACTGACTGATTCCTACAGTGAACAGGTTTTATATATGTTGTGAATTTGATATGGCTTTATTTGGGAGACTGTATCTGATTTGTGAAATTAACAGAAATTAATCATGTCTTTAACCTAAAAGATGGGTTTGAGGTGGTGTCAGCTAGATACTTTAGTTTAAAATGCACTCTGTGGATCTTTTCTTTTGGAAGGTGTACAGGAAGCAGGTGGACTTGAATGTCTCTTGGACTGATTGATTGATTACTTGTATTAGTAAAGAAGATGTACCATCATTGCAGTTGTTTTATGAGTTACTTTCATTGAGTTATGGAGACTTTTGGGTTAAGTTTTGCATTGCCGCATCTTGGAAAAGGAGGAAGGAATACTTTGTTTTCTTTTCTTTTGCTTTCTGTGGGTTTCTCCAGACCATAATAATGCAGTTAGGGTATCACGAGGGTAAACACTGCCAGAGATGGAGCAAGGCTTTTTGCAAGGACTGCTTTAAAGGAGACATTGATATTTTTATGCATTCTCACTTTCTGCCTGCTTTTTGAATCCTCCCTAAATAAAAATACAGACTAGATAGACCACACATTTGTTTTTAGAGAATGCTGTGATAAAGATTTGTTTGAAACAGTCTAGGCTTTCCTGATAGTAACAGTTCAGCAAGCAATTTTTCTGAGTATTGGTTCTGTTCTTCCCACACATTTACTCCATGTTTCTATGCCAACGACCGAAATCAAAGGCTTTTCAGAACGTGTGTGTTCTGGAATGCTAAGTAATTTT